GTTTTTCCAATGAAAATTTAGCATCCAAATTGATAGGTGCTGTGAATATAAAATATACACTTAATATGAAATGTAAAATATCTCTTAACAATTTTTATATTGATTACATGTTGAAAAGATTTTTTTTGATAGGTTAAATAAAATATTAGATTTTTCTTTTTTGGCTGCACCATGCAGCTTGCAGAATCTTAGTTCCCTGACCAGAGATTGAACCTGGGCCACCGCAGTGAAAGTGCCGAGTGCAAACCACTGGACTGCCAGGGAATTCTGTATATTATTATAATTAATTTTACTTATTTATTTTTACTTTTAACATGGCTACTAGAAAATTTTAAATTACATATGTGACTTGTTTCATATTCTAAAGGATAGTTGCATTAGACTGTAATCTTAACGAAGGCAGGGACCTCTTTCTCATGTTTGCCAATGTGTGCAGTGCCTAGCATGGTGTCTGACACACAGTATTTGCTAAGTGTATATTCGTGGAACAGATAGAGGCTTGACTCAGCTTACTCAGTTGTTTCTATTCACTCATAACATGGCTTATACCTGACCTTTACCTTAAGCTTCCACAACTAACCAGCAAATTCTCTTAATATTTCTTAGTTCAAATTTAACCTCTTACTTTCTTTTCCTTAACTTAATTGTATATCACTAGAAGTTAATCAGTTTTGGGGGGAGTTCCCTGGTGGTCCAGTGGTCAGAACTCCGCACTTTCACTGTCAGGGCGCGGGTTCAGTCCCTGGTCAGGGAACTGAGATCCTGCAAGCTGTGCAGTGTGGCCAAAAAAAAAAAAAAAAAGTTAATCAGCTTTTTGTGAAAAGTAATCTGGAAGTTTCTGATGGATTTCTGATGTCTGAGTGATAATCCTTCCCAATACATGAATTGGTCACACCTGTCTCTCCTAGTTTTGAAAGTTATTTATTTTAAGCAATTTCCAGTGCCTTCAGTTGAATTTCCTAGCACATGGCAGACAGTCCTCTGTGTATATTATAATTGTTTCAGGTCTACATCATAGTGCAATCTTTTAAAAATATATTTTAAGTAACAATTAGGAATGCAAATATAAGTTAAAATATAATTAAGTGTGATGTAAATAATTCAACTGAGGTAATGGTCAGATTAACAGATACTTTCTATATATAGTTAGGTTTCTATATAGCAGGTGATAAGAGGCGTACCACAAGTGTCTTTGGATTTTCATTGTAAAACCCATCCCTGATTTCAGAAATGTTTAAATGTGAGAAAAAAAAAATGGAGACCTGAGGAATAAGTGGGGTCAGTCAGGCAAAAGAGCAAGAAAGAAACATATTGGGTGGAGGAGAGGGCATATTCCATATTATTTGGAAGCAAGAGAGAGCAGGGCATGTTGGAAGACTGAAAACTTTGAGTGTGACTAGAATCTAGAGTGAACAAGGTAGACACTTTGGGAAATAGAAAAGGAGCACTTATGGGGCTTCCCTGGTGGCGCAGTGGTTGAGAGTCCGCCTGCGAATGCAGGGGACACGGGTTCGTGCCCCGGTCCGGGAAGATCCCACATGCCGCGGAGCGGCTGGGCCCGTGAGCCATGGCCGCTGAGCCTGCGCGTCCGGAGCCTGTGCTCCGCAACGGGAGAGGCCACAACGGTGAGAGGCCCACGTACCGCAAAAAAAAAAAAAGAAAGAAAGAAAAGGAGCACTTATTTCTGTGGTGTGGGTCATGTCAGCATTGGCTTTTTGTAAGCAGTACTGTTTGAAGTGGGCCTTGCGATGAGTGGGCATTCATGGGGGAATGGTGAGAATGGGAAGAGCATTTTAGGCATAAGCAAAGATGTTGACATAACATTGGGATCTAAATAAGAACATCGTAGAAGTCTTATCCTTTTTTTGACCCACAGTTCAGTTTTTTTCTCACCTTAGGCTAATGAATTTGTCAGAGCAAATGCCACCAACAAGCTGACAGTCATAGCCGAGCAAATCGAACATTTGCAAGAACAAGCCAGGAAAGTAAGTAGTGGCTTTTAGGTAAGCATTTGTTTTCTTCGCTTAGTTCATAGGATTGACTGAACTTGCTTATAATCATTGTAACTTACTTGTTTCAGTACCTCCTAGAAATACAGAAGTGTTGAGTAAAATAGAATAAGCCCAAGAGGTTAAGTATAAGTGTTTTCACTGGGAGAAAGTTCAGTGAGATAAAGCATTTTGAGGGGAAACTATGTTTTCAGTTATAAAAGAAATGTACTGACCACAGAAAAATTGGAAAGAAATGTAAAAACCATTCAAAAGCCAGTAACACTCAACGTTTTGAAATACAATTTTCCTAAAGGCATTTTTACAGCATAGTAACGTAACATTGTGTAATTTTTCTCTTCAGTATCATCTGGATCTCAGTCATGATTCACTGCTGTGGGGGAGCAAGACCCTAGGCATCGAACGGTTTCCAGATTTTGAGGGGGATGGTCATTGAGTATGAGTGCCTGTTACCTAATACCTAATTGGTTACATCTCTGTGGTTCTTAGGTATTGGAGGATGCTCGCAGAGATGCTGACTTGCACCATGTAGCTTGTAATATAGTGAAAAAACCTGGCAACATTTACTACCTTTATAAACGGGAGAGTGGTCAGCGGTATTTTTCCATTATCTCTCCAAAGGTAAGAACATTTAATTTTTGCACAAAAATCTACTCTTGTCTCTGAGAAATTCTTGGGTGTGTGTTTGTGTATGTGTGTGGTGTGTGTTGTGTGTGAGAAAATGTAGGCATAGGGGTTGGGAAGTGGTTTTCTAGAAAACTGGAGGTGGCATGAGCCCAGACATGACTCTGAAAAATATGCATGTGCTTAAATTATTTCACAGTCATTATCTCTGTTAAGGGAGGTATCTGATGTGTAATGTAATGGTTTCCAAGAATGATTCTGACTGGTCTGGAGTGAAAAGCTAAAAAAGAAAATTGTGGTAGAATTAGGACATGAGCTCAGTTTCTTTATCTCCTGCCCTGATCAGAACTGACTCCTTTGCCTTCTCTAGGAATGGGGGACAGGTTGTCCACATGACTTCCTTGGTGCGTACAAGCTACAGCACGACTTGTCCTGGACTCCGTATGAGGACGCTGAGAAGCAGGATGCTAAAATCAGCATCGTGAACAAGTTGCTAAGCCAGCCAGTGGCTCTGCCTCCGAGCACTGAACCCAGCTTCCAGGGCTTCACTTCCACTGAGAGTGGACTCTGACAAAGGCTGTCATGGCTAGGACCTGTCACCTCCTTGTTGCCCCAATCTCTGCCTTGATGGGAGGTGGCATGAGAATCGAGGGCATGTAGGGGAATCATGAACTGCTTTGAAGGTGGTCCTGTGTGAATGTAAATGCTGTCGTTATTACTTCTAGTTGGGATGGTAAAGAATCACATCAGTCTCTTTTGGGATTCTCTCCAGGTCACAGATACTCAACTAGTCAGTTTCAGAGTACTGGCCAGTGTACTTTCCTTCTCCTTTATCTCCATCTGTTCTCCCATAAGTCAGAGCATTAGAGAAAGAAGGGTTTCTTCTTCCCTCGAAAAGATTGGCAGGTCATTTTCCAGAGAGGACTGTTGTTAGTCTCTTAGTAACTAGAAGTGTTTGAGATTGGGGTTGTGGCTATGTAACAGTTGGTGCAACTCCAGCTTCAGATTCGTCTGGGAACCAGAATGTTGGGTACTGGCGGATGATAAACAGCTTGGCTTGGCTCGCGAGCGAGTGTGTGGGTCTGGTATTTCTGCATGATTGATAAGGTTTGGCTTGTCCCATTCTGCTCTTTCTGCTGAGCTAGGATGACTGGAGAATTTGAGGCAGCAGCAATGGCCAGGTTTCGGGACAGTCAGCCTCTAAACTCACAGAATTTTAGACTTGGAAGAGATTTTGGAGGCTACCACTAACAATGTTATGAATCCACTCTCTAGCCCCACTGAGCAGGAGATCCAGAGTTCCGCCATCTGTAGCAGGAAGAATCCATTAAGTGGCAACTTCAGAATATTGTGGAAAAGAGAATAGGACAGTGGGTGAGAAACAAGAAAAACAGCCAACCTGTTGATTATGAATTAACTCAGATTGAAATTCATTTTGACCTGAATTATTGAGGAACTTAACAGAAGCTTTTTGGCTGAGTTACTCTATGCTGATTCTGACTGAGCTCTTGTGGGACTCTACCTCGCTTCCTGTTTGTTCAGTGGAATTAGCTAAATTGATAGCATAGCCAGCATTGCTGTACTTCCTTCAGTGCCATGTCATCTATTACAACATGCTGTAGAAGGAGTGAGAGATCTGTACCTGAAATCAAATTGCCCAAGTTCCTTTCTGGGGATGAATGTCCTTTGTGTTGATCTGCTTAGTAATGCCACAATCTCATCCTGGTGTAATGGCCTTTCCTTATAAGCTTCGCTCCTTGTGAGCTGTAAATGGTCCACAGAGGCCTAGCAGAGGTTGGGACTAGATTCTGTCAAGGTCACACAGATGATACTTGGTCACTCAGTTCACAGGAGGATGCTCTGGAGGCAGCTGCGAAAGCCTCTGGCTGGGAGGCTGCAGGAAATGGGACACACACACACACACACACACACACACACACACTAGTGGTATAGTAGTTGATTCTTACTACAGAAAGTTTCCCATATTTTCAGTAGGTTTTGAGTTGCTTGATAATGACATTTTGAGTAGGTGCTTTGTTATCCATTGCTGCATTAGTTACCACAAACTTAGTGGCTTTAAACAGCACACATTTATTATTTCAGAGTTTCTATGGATCAGGAGTTCAGGCACACTTGACTGGGTCCTCTGCTTCAGGGTTTCTTTTCTCACAAGGCTGCAGCGAATTACTGGCCAGGCCTGTGTCCTCATCTGAAGGCTCAGCTGAAGAAGGATCTGCTTCCAAGCTCACTTAAATTGTTGGCAGAATTTCAGTTCCTCAAGGGTTTGTAGGACTGTGGAGCTCTGTTTACTAATGAACTGTTAGCCAGAGGCTGCCCTTAGTTCTTTGCTACATGAATCTTACCAACATGGCAGCTGTCTTCATCAAAGCCAACAAGGATGAGGGTCTGCTAGCAGGATGGAAGTTATGGCAGTGACATCTCATACCTTGGCTGTGCGCTGTTAATTAGAAACAAGTCAGTAGGCCAGCCCATACTCAAGGGAGGTAATTACCTAAGGGTATGAATACCAGAAGGTGGAAATCCTTGAATCTTAGAATCTATATGCAGCAGTGCTCAGTTGATAGGGAGAAGGAAGGCTGTGGCTGGAAGAGGCAGTATTACAAAGTGGTTAGGCTTGGTGGCTTTGAAGTCACAGATCTGGACGCGACTCTCAGCTCTGACAAAATAACCTCCCCTAGTGTTCCTGCTTCCTCCTCTGGTCCCTTCTCCAGTCCATTCTGTATTCAGTCATCAGCTTGATCTTTTGAAAATGCAAATCCACCTCACCCTTGACATCTATCTATCCTAGTCACCGGAACAGAGAGCAGTGTGATTCAGGAGCAAACTTTCTTCCGTTCAATAAGGTGTACTCCTGGCACTGACCACCAGGTGGTGCCATTGTGCTTTCCTGATTAAGCCAGTTACCAAGCTTAGAGAAAGTGGCATTGTGAAGTGATTTTGGAGGTAGTATCTCCTAGGGGGACTAGGGCCCAGTGATTATAAACAGTAACCATTTTTCACTCATCCATCCATCTATCCATCCATAAGTGAGTAATACTTAATTACTGAGTATTAAGTGCCTTCCAGGTTCCAGATTCCGGAGAATGACACAGGTGAGTAAGCCAGGCCCCTATTTCCAGGAAGCTTACAGTCTAGTGGGGGAGAAAGCAAGTCAGCCATTACAACATGGTATAAGAAGGACTATGATAGGTGCACATGGAATATCATGGAGCACTGGGGAGGGCTGCTTAACTCAGCTTGGAGAATTTGAGAAGACTTTGGAAGAGCTGACACCTGCTTCGGTGTTGAAAAAGAAGCAAGAGTTACAGCTTGTTTGGAGGCTCCAGCTGTCGTCTCTGTAGGAAGGTTGTCTTTAGGGGTTAGGGCAGGGTTTATATTTGGATGGAGTTTATTTATGAATGAACAAAGGGATATCCACTTAACAAGCCATATCGACCAGAGTAATCCTGCCAGTCAGGAAGGGTGGAGTGAGAAAGGTCCCAGCCAGAACACTCTTACTTCTAACAGCTAGGAGATAGGTAGATGAGGAATCGGATGAAAAGCAATTCTAGACAAAAAATAGCACGTGGGGGACACTGACAAGAAGCAATATGACATTTGGGGAATTGCAGCTACAGTGAAGAATATTGGCCAGGTGGGTATGAGAGGAGAGCTAATTGAAGGGTTGGGGGTAGGGAGTTGGTTAAATTGGCCTTTTTAGAAAGCTCATCTTGGCAGTGGAGGATGAGTGGGGGAGAAACCACTGGGAGCCTCCAACCCAGTCCAGGCAAGAGATGTTGGAGGTTTTGAACAAAGATGGTGATGGACTGAGAGGTGTTGTATTTCATCAATTGTAAACGTACTTTCCTTCCCCCACGTTTTAATCTCTCAGACCTAGATGCTTCTAGGTGTCCGTAGTATGTCATCGTTTAATAATGGTTTGTCTTAACAGTGGATGGCATCTTAGACTTGATGAAGTATGGCATTTTGAAAGTACAGTAGATCGCCATCTTGTTAATTAATACGATGTGGCACAAGGAGTGGAAAGAATCAATCTTAGATAATGCTTGAATTTCTGGCTTGAGAGTGTGGATGGGGCTTCCCTGGTGGCGCAGTGCTTGAGAGTCCGCCTGCCGATGCAGGGGACACGGGTTCGTGCCCCGGTCCGGGAAGATCCTACATGCCGTGGGGCAGCTGGGCCCATGAGCCATGGCTGCTGAGCCTGCGCGTCCGGAGCCTGTGCTCCGCAACGGGAGAGGCCACAATAGTGAGAGGCCCGCGTACCACAAAAAAAAAAAAAGAGTGTGGATGGTGGGAATCCACTCAACAAAATGTGGACGAGGAAGACATCCCTGCTATTTTCCAAAATAATTAGCAATCTGTATTTGCCTCAATAATCCACCATGCTGGCCCTGCCTGGTTCACTGGGTGTAACAGCTGACACTACCTCCTTTTCTCCACATTAGCATTCCAGAAGGAGGGAAAGAAGGCTTGCTTGTGTCCTTACCTTCTCAAGTTATCAGTCAGTCCACAAGTATTGAGAGTATTGGTGGTGTAGACACAAAGATGATAAATACTGTTTAGTGAGCTCTTTTTCTGCCAAGCATAGCCAACTGTTTGATTTAATCTTTATATAATCCACCATCTATGAGGTATTACACAGTATTCCTATTTTACAGAGCTGGGACATCTCAGACATTAAGCTACTGGCCCATGGTTACACAGGTAAAAAGTGGCAGAGGTCAGGCTCAGACGTTACTGTTTGATTAAAGTCTGACCATAGCTATAACCATAACCTGTTTTGGCCGATTAGGACAGTCCTAGAATATCTCTACATAGAGGTGTGAAGAAGTTAAAATACAAAAGTGACAGAGTAACATGTGCATATGGGATACTACAGGAGTAGTTCACTTGAGTATTTAGTGATGAGCATGCAGACGATGTATATCAAGGTCCAGAGAAGATAAGTAACTTACCTAAGTTCACACAACTTAAAAACAATTGAGCCCACATCTCTGGCACTAAAGCCCATGTGCAAACCCCCCACATACAAGATAAGGTTCATTCCCTAAAGGAGTCAGAGCTTGGGCGGGAGGAGCTACTAAGTACCTGGAGTAACTAGACTTCCGTGGTCCAAGCAGCATTTGATTGAAAAGCTTTGTTCTTCATTTTGATTTGGAATATTACCACCTTCTGCTTCACTGACTGCATCTTTTCTGTCTCCTGACACTTACAGTTGGTTCTGCTCTGGGGCCAAGTCTTTGGCCCTCTTTTCTTTCCC